CTGCTGCGGCGGCGGAGGCGCGGCGGCGGGCGGCAGAGGGGGTGCGGCAGAGGGCCGAGGCGGACGCGCAGGTGGGTGCCCCGCGGCTCTCTCCATTGGCTGGCGCAGGCTGGCTTGTGTATGTGACGAGTGCCGGCCGCTGCGTGGCGTCTGCAGCCAGTCACCCGGCCTACTGGATCACGGCCTGCAGTTGCGTCACCTGATGGCGGATAGGGGCAGTGCAGGCGATTTTCCACGCCCTGATGCGGCCCTGGGCCGGCGCACGCCACCCCAGCATCACGAGGCCTGGCGGCTAGTGCAGCCTTTGCAGCATCGCACCTGGTCTGGCGTGGACGCCGGGCGCCTGGTGAGGACGGGCCGCGACTCCGTCTCGATGCACAAACAACCCTCGTGCGCAGGCCAAGGCGGAGGCCGAGGCGCGTGAGATGGCGGAAAAGCGCGACATAATCATGCGTCTGCGCGCCCTGATGGAGCGGGGGCCCGGCAGCGGCGGCGGCGGCGGGGGAGGGGCGGGCGGCCGCAAAGTGGTGGACGAGACGGCCGCGGCGGAGCGGGGCATGAACGAGCAGATGAGCCTGCTGGAGCTGCGGGAGCGGCTGGCGGTGGCGCAGCGGCGGCAAAGGGAGGAGGTGGGCGCGCGGGGGTATGCCGCTGGGCCGGCGTGTGACCTGTGCCGAACTCTGCCCCAGTCCCCATCTCGAGCTCCTTGGCCCTCCCACTTTGCGCCGGCAACAGCGGTCCCTAACTCTGCTTTTTGTTGACAAAGAGCCCTGCGTGAGGCCAGTCACTTGCAGCCAACCCCGTCGCACCCACGGGCGGCGCCGCAGGAGGAGGAGCGCCGGGCGCGCATCCTGGCGGCCAAGCAGCAGCGCGAGGCGGCGCTGCTGGGGAAGGTGGCGCAGCTGCAGGCCATCAGGAGGCTGGCCTCAGCGCAGGTGAGTGGGCGCGGCTAAGGGGTTTGCTGATGGAAGGGGCCGCCTCCACCCCCTCCGATTAGCAAGCATGTGGCAGGGTGCAAGGGTGTTTGCGCGAGCGCAATCAGATCAGCCATCGCAGCGGTGGTCACGCCGTCCGTTGGTGACGTCATCAGTAGGGGCCCGCGGCTCGGCACATGGCTCACATATGTACGTCCGCATTGCCACAGGCGCACGCCCGCAAGGCCGCGGCCGCAACCTCGGAGGTCGCCGCCGCCGACACGGCGCGCCGGCGCGCGGACGACTTGACTGTAGAGCTCGCGGCCCGCCTGGAGCAGCGGCGCGCGGCGACGGCGGCGGAGCGCGCGCGGCTGGCTGCGGACGGGAAGCGGGCGCAGCACGAGCGGATGCAGAGCGCCGCAGGGTCGGCGGCGGCGGAGGCGGCTCGCTTCAGGTGGGCAGAGACTGTGTGTGTGTGTGTGTGTGCGCGCGCGCGGGGAGAGGGTGTTTGTGCGTGGGTGTGTGGGCTCGAAGGTTGAACGGTGGGTGGTTGGATGCCAGCAATGGAGGGAAACAAACACCAGGGGTGATAAGAGCGCCCAGCTGTGCGAAGGGCAGACCGATGCTGGCGACGCTGCCCGTGCTCGTTCGCTTTGCGCTCGGCCAATCATTCGGCGCGCCATGTCCACCAGGAGCCATCGCCTCACCCCTTTCTACACACACAATCAACCGCGCGCGGCGGCAGGGAGATGCGGGAGGGCGCGCACCGCTGCGCGGCGCAGCGCCACGTGGAGCAGCGGCGGGACGCCGTCGCGGCAGACGCAACAAAGGCGCGCGCGCAGGTGAGGTCAGGGTGCAAGCACACCGCATCATCGCGCGTGCGGAAGCCTTGCTCCTGACATGCGACCGCACAATCAGGCGTGCGTCCGCACGCTTGGCTGCCCGCGACGGCGCATCAACCTGCTGGCTGTTGGTAGCAGCCGCATGCGCTCGCCGGCCGCACGAAGCGCCCCGGTACCGATGCTGCGCGCCCCCGGCCGCTCCCCGCCCGCCCGCCAGGCTCTCCGCCAAAAAGCCAAGCGGCAGGACTGCGGGGCCCGCGCCAGCTTTCTCGCCGAATACGACGCCACAGTCGCCGCGCTGACCGCGGCGACCGGCGCCGCCGCCGCGCACGAGCTCGAGCGGCGCCGCGGCGCGGCGGCGGCGGCGCGGGCGCGGGAGGAGGCTTTGTGGGACGCGCGGGGGCGGGACGCGTACGTGCCGTTCTCGGGCGGCCCCACCACCATATCTGAGCGGCTTCTGGCTGTTGGTCGAGGGGAGGGTCCCCTGGAGTGACGCGTGTGTCATCGCCGCCACTTGCCCCCGCCGCTGCCCTGCTGTCGGTGTCGCCCACTGCTGTGCTGTGCAGCTCGCACTGCAATGTTTGTACGTTTTGCGGCCCGATACGCGCATGTAGTCATTCATATAACAGATCAAGAACACGGGGATGTGGATCTGAAACCTGCATCAAGGCTGTACCTAGAATATCTACCACGACAGAGGCGAAAACAAGGGTGTTGAGCGCTGCCGCGCTCGGTTCGACGGAGGAAGAAAACCCCACCGCGCGCGTGCGGGGCGCTGAACGCAGAGTGGGTTCACGGCGGCTGGCAAAGGCTGTGTTTGCCGCCGCCGGCCCTGTCGATACGCCCGTGCAGGGCCGCTGGCTCAAAGGCCAGATGATGCCTCTGATTTGAGGGCTGCAGCGAATCCCACGCCATGCAGGCTCGCCAGCGCTCCCCCGCCCCAGCAGGCACCAGGGGTAAAAATCAGGCGGCCGCCGCCGCACAGCCGCTGCCGTTGCGGCCCCACCGCGCTCCGCAGCAGCCGCCGCCGCCGCCGCCGCGCCGCCTCAGAGCTTCGAGGCCGCCGCCTTGGCGCGGCGCGCCATGGCGGGCTTGAGCACCGTGTGCCAGGCGGGGCCCTCCTGGGTGGCGTTGAGGGGGGAGCCCTCTGCCATTTCCAGCATTGACCGGTACACGTCACCGTCGCTCCTGGGG